TGAAATTCTCGATTTAACTAGGCTGTTTAAGAATACAATATCTGAATAGAAAGCATTTATAATAATGGTAATTTCTCATTTAAAAAATTACAATATAATGTGCGTAACGTGTATATATATAATGCACTTGCAATTTTTATTTATATGCGTGTGTGTATGTGTGAGTGTTAAGTTTTTAGCATCAGACAAAAAACGAATAAGCTTGATTGTTGAATGTGATAATTATATTCGATATTAGTAAAAGCTCAAAAGAAAAATCTTTGGTGCTGAAATACTATTTTGAGATCAATTGGTGTAACTGCATTGTTAGTCAATATTGACCGATGTTGTGTTTGATCGCAGCTTTAGGTTTGAGGCAGCAATGCGGAAAGCTGAAACCAGCAACAAACATCCAAGGTAGCATACAGCAGAAGATGCAGACAGTAATCACAGCAGTGTAACGAATGAATCATAGATTCTGATTGGTTCACAATAAGCATTGTAAGATATCAAATAACCAATCGGATGAGACCTTTCTTTCCTAACCCTGACAATGACTTTCATAATTCTGTTTGTCCTTTAAGAAGAGAAAGACGAAGCTAGTGAAAAGAAGGAAAAAGGGAAAGGTGAAAGAAAGAGAGAGTAATAGAAAGAAAGTGACACATGAAGTACTTTTCTTTTTTGTTTTTTTTTAGATATGTTACAAAGGAAATTAAAGAATAATGTTCAATGTTTGACGTCATAGTTTAGTGTCATATCATGAGATTGAAAGTCGCCATATTTAATAATTATAAACACACACACACGCGCGCGCACGCACACACAAAATAATTATAACTTAGCGCGTTCAAGCGTGTTTTTGAAAAATCACCATCACAAGTTACAATAAGTTTGTCTTTCTAAGTCTACCCTGAGGCTGATTTCGGAGAAGATCGAAAGTATTTGGGTAGGAAAAAACTATGGAGTCTTCCATGCTGGATTTCATCTTAACATCAAGAAACTGATAAGAGAACTAGAAAAGATTATAATAAAAATAAATAAACACAATATGTCTATTATTCAATTAAACATTTCTGAATGAAGGTATGCTGCCTATATATATATATATATATATATATATATATATATGCTTGATATCAGGATATAGAATCCGAAGAAAGGTGGAGAAAAAATAAACAAAGTGGAAAAGATTTTTTATTAAGAACTCGTTTCCTTTTCGTTATGCAGCCATATAGGCGTCCTCAGGCCAGAACGAAAGAAACGTTTGAGAGATTTGTCTTTGATTCTGACCTGAAAACGTCTACCTCACTACCTAACGAATGCGTTGTGAATAAAAAACTTTTCCACTTTGTCCCAATATATATATATATATATATATATATAAATATATATATATATGTTTTGAACAATGAAAAATATTAAAAAATTAAAATATTCAGACACACTGGGTTGTATATTAATATTCTTTCGTTTTTATTATTTCAATTAGATTTCTCGACTAGTTTCGGCCAACATGGCCATCATCAGGAGAAAAAAAATCTGCTTGTTATTAGCAGTGAACTACAGAAATGAATGACTTGATGGAAAAAATGAACTTTATCTGGAGTTTTCATTTGTTTTATTTTTTTATCATGACTTTTGGTCATTTCTTGTGTTTGTCAAACAGTTTCGTTTAAGTTGTTATTTAAGATAAGGGTTGGATGGATTCATGCCGCTCTGAATTCCCTTGGTCATTTTTACAGTTTTATTGGTTCCTGGAAAGGGGATGTGTCTCTGTTAAGTGTGTGTGGTATTTGGTTCTTAGGGAGTGAGTGAGTATGATGAGTATGGGTGTGTACATAAGTGTGAGGCCTCAACACCTCCGCAAGCACGCCTGTCTTGTGTGGGTGAGAAATGTGGGTAGGGACTGATTTGTGGAGAGTTCAGTATATATATATATATATATATATATATATATATATATATATATATATATATATATATATATATATATATACTGAACTCTCCTGTCGTCTTCAGCATCTCGGTTCTCTGAGCCGAACAGAGAGACTATATGAATTGATCATAGTGAAACCCATAGTTCGTATTCATAACTTTCCAAACTGTATTTACGCACAAAAGTAAATGTAACAAGATCGACTGGAATTCGAATTCGGCTCTCAGATAGAGGTGGGGTTGAATTAACTTTCAGGAACAAACCATCACTCATTGAGAAACATGGCGTGAATAAAAAGGTACAAATAATTTGCGGCTAGCATTTCGTTTACTTCCGTGGAAGAGGATACAATGAAGACGTGGCGCAAATATCAAAAAGGGAGCGTTACGTAATTAACGTACTTTACTGATTAGAAAAAAAAATGAAAAAAGAAAGGGAAAAAATAATTTCCATGTTTGAAGCCGAAACTTTAATTCCATGCATTTGTAAGAAAATTAGAAGCTCATGCTATATTTTATTATTCTCTTTCTTTAAATTGTTCGCCATGTTTCTTTCTAAAGCAGAACTCTTCTTGGATGAAGAAAGAAAAAAAAAAACGCCAAAAAAGCCTTACAAATGAAAGCAATTAACAACTCCAGATGCCGCAGTAATTCACTTACTATTTCATCTAACAACATTACTGAAATGTGCTAAGCTTGTTAAAATGAACGAGTAATTTTTTATTTGTTTTTCATTGCTTTATAACAAGGAGAGAACACAACGGAATCTTCGGGTCCACTGTTTTTTTTATACCCGTATTCTTTCTGTTTCAGTTAAATAATAACAGAAAAAACCCCTCAAAACATCCATTTTTTAAGAATTGCTGTCATCATTGAATGCAACTCAAACTTTAACATTATTCTTGTTTTTCTTTGATGTAAGAAGACGCAAGTCGAAATAGCAAGCCGGGTGTTGCACACGTTGGCGAGCCACCGTCAATCAAGTCGGTATAAAGTTTGAGTAAACTGGCGCCAAAATCAAAACAACACAGCAGATCAACTTTTTCTCTTCTCATATGAGCCGTGTCGCTTCAGGACGCTAGCAATCATGGCTCTCCACAATTTATTGTCCTTTCTCAGATCTTAATAAATTTTGTCTTTTTTGTTATCGCTCCTAAACTCTGTTCTCTCAAGCTCGCGTGGTAGGTTTGTTCCAGTGTTCCTCTTGCCTTCAATGTGCCCTATGCGTGTCAAATTTTCCAAGCCCTCTTTCCTCATTATGCGCCCTAGTAATTTCAACTGTCTCTTTCTGATGTTAAATATTCAGGTTCCAGTCCTCCCTTTTTATCAAACTATGCACGCTTAAATTCATGCTGTTGAGGCACCAGTGAAAATAGCTCGTCAGAGCAGTTGCCATGAAAATATTTGTAGAAAAGACAGAAGGAGACCACATCCCGTCTGTGAGAAAATGACTGGAGTCAGGATGCCAGGTCAGGACTTATCACATTGCATATCCGTCTTTGAATTTTGTCGAGACCCTCGAGTTGAACAGCGTGGGGATCAGGCCATATATGGCAACAGTATTGAATGCAAAGACAAACAGTTGATTTCTAGATTTGAAGGATGGACTCAGACGAGAAAAACCTTCTGGCGCGACACAGAGAACCAACTTTCCTTGCGGTAGATGGAACTATAGATTCAATGTCGTTGTTCCACCTTAGGTCAGTGGAAAACGTGAGACCAAGAAGGCGTAGTGAGACGCTCTCGACAAGTTGTGCGTGAATTGCATTAAATACATATGAATTCATAAAAAACAACATTATTATTATTATTATTATTATTATTATTATTATTATTATTATTATTTCCTTTGATTTCTGTTGTATACACATTTCCTTCCGGGTCCTAACCAGAGACCTAAGGCCAGGAATGACTTCATGATATTTTCCGCTGATCATGTTTGCAAAAACACAAAGATCACACACATTTTACATAGATAAATCTCTTCGTAATGCGGGAGCTGTACTTGTGAGTACAATTTTTTGTATTTCTTTAAGGTATGAACAACCAAACATCCCTTCAATGAGCCTACCGGAGACTTTTCCAATCAAACCAAGGGCTCCAAGTACAACATAAATTATTGATGTACTCATATGCCACATTTTTAAGATTTCGACTTCAAGATGAGGTTGTAATTATTATTATTATTATTATTATTATTTGTGTATGTTATGTTTCCTGCTTTGTGTGCTGTAGAGCCGGGTCCAAATTATTGTCCTTAGGCCCTATAGGAGAATTGTCATTTAATTGATAGCACTTTTCTTAGTATATGGGATGTTCCTAGTAGGGCGATCTTTTGGGCAACATGTATGATGATGTTACCTGGTATACTGTTAGTAAAATTGTCCATTCCTTTTCTTACGAAGCCTAGTACTCCGATTACTATTGGTACAGTCCCAGTCTTTATTCCCCACATCCTGTTAATCTCGATCTTTTATTATTATTATTTGTGTTTGTAATGTTTCCAGCTTTGTATCCTGTAGAACCGGGTCCAGACTATGGTTCTTAGGTCCTACAAAAGAATTGTCATTTAATTGATAGCACTTTTCTTAGCATATGGGATGTTCCTAGTAGGGCGATCCTCTGGGAAACTTGTATGTTGATGTTACTTGGGACACTATAAAATTGTCCATTTCTTTTCTCACGAGGCCCAGTGCTCCGATTACTATTGGTACAGTCTCAGTATTATTATTATTATTATTCCTGAAAGAAAAGATTTATTTTTAATACAAACATTTTTATGTCATTAAGCCTGAAACGATCTAATTAATTTTTATTCCCATCACAGTGAAAAATAAAATCAGGACTAGTCATGAGATTCTACGTCAGATCCCTTAGAATATGTAGCTCAGAATAACCTAAGTGACGAAGAGAATAACCTAAGTGAGGAAGAGAATAACCTAAGTGAGGAAGAGAATAACCTAAGTGACGAAGAGAATAACCTAGGTAAGGAAGAGAATAACCTAAGTGAGGAAGAAAATAACCTAAGTTACGAAGAGAATAACCTAAGTGAGGAAGAGAATAACCTAGGTGAGGAAGAGAATAACCTAAGTGAGGAAGAGATAACCTAAGTGACGAAGAGAATAACCTAAGTGACGAAGAGAATAACCTAAGTGACGAAGAGAATAACCTAGGTAAGGAAGAGAATAACCTAAGTGAGGAAGAAAATAACCTAAGTTACGAAGAGAATAACCTAAGTGAGGAAGAGAATAACCTAGGTGAGGAAGAGAATAACCTAAGTGACGAAGAGAATAACCTAGGTGACGAAGAGAATAACCTAAGTGAGGAAGAGAATAACCTAAGTGAGGAAGAGAATAACCTAAGTGTCGAAGAGAATAACCTAAGTGAGGAAGAGAATAACCTAAGTGAGGAAGAGAATAACCTAAGTGACGAAGAGAATAACCTAGGTGACGAAGAGAATAACCTAAGTGAGGAAGAGAATAACCTGTGAGGAAGAGAATAACCTAAGTGATGAAGAGAATAACTAGGTGCGGAAGACAATAACCTAGATGAGGAAGAGAATAACCTAAGTGACAAAAAGAATAACCTAAGTGACAAAAAGAATAACCTAGGTGAGGAAGAGAATAACCTAAGTGAGGAGGAGAATAACCCTAGTGACGAAGAGAATAACCTGTGAGGAAGAGAATAACCTTAGGTGAGGAAGAGAATAACCTAGTTGAGGAAGAGAATAACCTAAGTGAGGAAGAGAATAACCTAAGTGAGGAAGTGAATAACCTAAGTGACGAAGAGAATAACCTAGGCGAGGAAGAGAATAACCTGTGAGGAGGAGAATAACCAAAGTGACGAAGAGAATAACCTAAGTGAGGAAGAGAATAACCTAGGTGAGGAAGAGAATATCCTAAGTGAAGAAGACAATAACCTAAGTGACGAAGAGAATAACCTAGGTGAGGAAGAGAATAACCTTAGTGACGAAGAGAATAACCTAGGTGAGGAAGAGAATAACCTAGGTGAGGAAGAGAATATCCTCAGTGAAGAAGACAATAACCTAAGTGACGAAGAGAATAACCTAGGTAAGGAAGAGAATAACCTAAGTGACGAAGAGAATAACCTAGGTGAGGAAGAATAACCTAAGTGACAAAAAGAATAACCTAGGTGAGGAAGAGAATAACCTAAGTGACGAAGAGAATAACCTAAGTGACGAAGAGAATAACTTAAGTGAGGAAGAGAATAACCTGTGAGGAAGAGAATAACCTAGGTGAGGAACAGAATAACATAAGTGAGGAAGAGAATAACCTAAGTGACGAAGAGAATAACCTAGTTGAGGAAGAGAATAACCCAAGTGATGAAGAGAATAACCTAGGTGAGGAAGAGAATAACCTAGGTGAGGAAGAGAATAACCTGTGAGGAAGAGAATAACCTAAGTGAGGAAGAGAATAACCTAAGTGACGAAGAGAATAACCTAAGTGAGGAAGAGAATAACCTAGGTGAGGAAGAGAATAACATAAGTGAGGAAGAGAATAACCTAAGTGACGAAGAGAATAACCTAGTTGAGGAAGAGAATAACCTAAGTGATGAAGAGAATAACCTAGGTGAGGAAGAGAATAACCTAGGTGAGGAAGAGAATAACCTAAGTGACGAAGAGAATAACTTTGGTGAGGAAGAGAATAACCTAAGTGACGAAGAGAATAACTTTGGTGAGGAAGAGAATAACCTAGGTGAGGAAGAGAAATACATTGAGAAAACATTCAGACTTCTTTACAACCCTGATCATTTCATCTTTAACGCTAGAAAACGAGAACACAATGTTCACATGTCCAAAAAGCTAGACACCGCTGATAGCATTTCTAACATCTACAACACAAAATTCATAATCCTACTAACACTCTGTCTATAAAAGATTTGAAAATTAGTTCTCATTGCTAGAGTCTTTACCTCCAAGTCAATCGGAGATATAATTAGAAAGAAAAATCGATCCAACACCACTTCAGATGCTGGGATTGAATAAAGTGCTTGCAATGTAAAAATACGTTGGCGAGACATTTCGAAATCTAAAAGCTTAAAAGGAATCGATGTTTGGACAACCCTTTAATTTCTCTTGTAATACGCAGGAACAAAACTGAACTTAAGTTTGATTTTACAAATGTCACCTATGTCTACCTTTATGACTATGGTGTAAACCGGGCCTATGCCAACCTTCTTTCACTATGGTGTAAAGCGGATCTATGTCTCTTTCTTTGCTATTGTTCAAAACGTACCTTTGTCTACCACTTTGTCTATGGTGTAAACCGGACCTTTTTTTACCATATGGTATAAACAGGACCTATGTAAACCTTTTCGAGTGAAGTGTAAACCGTATCTATATCTATCTTTTTGACTCTAGTGTAACCAGGACAACCCACTGTCGACCATTTCAACACTAAGGTAAACGAAACCAATATCTAAGTTTTTGACTCTGGAGCAAACGAGACCCATGTCTCCCCTTTTGTCTCTAGTGTAAATCGGATATATCTAACTTTTTTCCAATCCATTGTAGACTGAACTAATTTTTTCTGTGCTGACATGTTTTATTTTTTAACTTTTGTAACTCTTGCCCAATCATGCAAGAATCGAATTATTATTCCTGGAATGAGAGCGATGGATATATAATGACTGCCTAAGTTAAAAAAAAAACGAAACAAAACAAAAAACAATTTGATATTTATTTATTTAGTTTTGAATACAAGAATGGATAAAATACGAGTAGAATAGTTAGCTATTTATACAGGAATACGGCATCCATTAATGACATGGCGAAGAATTAACACAAAAGAAAGCCAGAATCACCCAGAAATTGTCTTGTTTCGTGTCAAATAAATGAAATTGGCTGCAGAAATGGACTCCAATTATTTGTTGATTTGGCGGATTTTACAGCATATCATCAACCCTGTTGGATTATATAATTCTCTTTCGTTATACCTGAATCTGTAGATACATCTTGTTCAAGCTTATACTTGAGTCTATAGTTAAATATTGATCAAGTTTATACTTGAGTCTGTAGTTAAATATTGATCTAGTTTATACTTGAGTCTGTAGATAAATCTTGGTCAAGTTTATACTTGAGTCTGTAGTTAAATATTGATCTAGTTTATACTTGAGTCTGTAGATAAATCTTGGTCAATTTTATACTTGAGTCTATAGTTAAATATTGATCGAGTTTATACTTGAGTCTATAAATTGTTGGTCAAGTTTATACTTGAGTCTATAGTTAAATATTGGTAAACTGTAAAATATCATAAAAATGAAATTAGACAGGCAGGCTCAGTTGAATTTAATGAATCTCCTCTGATTTATAGGGATATATATATATATATATATATATATATATATATATATATATTGGTCCGGTATGCTTTGTTACTCGACCACGATGGACTTTATAGTAAGCAAGGCTCATTTCACCCCCCCTTTTTTTTAAAGGAAAACACATCCTGCTCTCTTCACTCAGATTATTCTTAGGCATTTTTTAATCAAAATTATTAATAAGATACAATTTCCCAGCTGAGTGGATACCAACTTAAAATATAATTTAATTAACTTATGATTTATGGATAAAAAATACACATTATGTAAAACGTATCAAATACCGGATCAATATATATATATATATATATATATATATATATATATATATATATATATATATATATATATATGAGTGTGTGTGTGTATATCATCCCTATAAATCAATTTTAAGCATAACTATTTATTAAGTTGTTAGAAATTATATACTAAGTAACACATTCAAAGTGAGCCAAATATTTTTCTGTTAAATACTTGCACATTTTCATGTATCTACTACTAAATATCACGTAGTTAGTCCACCTGATTTAGTAACAAGAGTCAGTATGAAATCTTCCTGTGACTAGTCTCTTTCCTGTTGTACACAGTCTGTTTTCATAAGAAGAAACTGAACTAAAAAGAGAAAAAAAAAAAGACGAAAAAACAGTTTTTGTAAAACATCTCAACAATTTCTGGAATATAAAAATTTCCGATTTACACTTTATCGGAGTTCTTCTTTCCCTTTTCTTTACTTTGTGGATGAGTTCAAAATATGGATGAGTTACCTATTTAAAAAAATGTACCAAGATTTACCAAAACAAAATAATAGGACCTCAGAAATTGTTGTGGCCTTGTTAGGGCCAGAATTGAAGACACAAAAGAGGAATTGAGTTAAACAAATATAATAGCAGAAAACAGTAATACAAACATATACAAACGAGAGTGTTACAGCAAGAATGTTCGGTCCGACTGTCTGAGCTGACTGTTGGAAACTTCACACACTAAAAGGCAGAACCTGCTCCTATTTATAGCTGCGAGAGTTCATGCGTGTGTGGGTAAATTACCATAACAGAAATGATGCCTTTATTTTAATCAAATTCTCTCTTTCCAAACTTAAAATAATCTCATGCATTGACATTGCTAGAAGCTATAGGGGCATAAGTGACAAAAAGCTGACTAAATAAAACATGTCAGTACTGAAAACACGATTTCAATTTACACTAGAGAGAAAAAAAAAAGATATAGATTCGATTTACACTAGACACAAAAGGAGAGACACGGGTCTCGTTTGTTCCAAAGTCAAAAACTTAGATATAGATTTGGTTTACATTAGATGCCTTGTCATCACCGTCCTGAATATACTGCCAGTCATCCGGTCCCATGTGCAGATTTAGTCTGCAGATCGAAACTCACTGTAATTATTCTCTTTCGATTGAACTCTCCACTGATGATATCCTCTTAACTACTACACGTGGAATTGCTTGCATTGTTCGGTGACAAAATAAATATATATATTTTTTGGTGTAGGACCGTTATTTTTATTATTATTTATTATTTATCATTTAAACTGATGTGAAATAATAACAACTTGCTAAATCCCTGTCTTACGAACATTTCTCTTAATGACAATTTTAAAATAATTTAGTCGATGATTTTATTTAATTTATGGTAACTGGATTTTTGCCGATTGCCTTACTCGGTTTTCGTCGTTCGATACTGTGCGTCTGAAAAATGGCGTTTTTATCGAGGTTGCCAACGCTTCTCGGCCTTTTGACTCAGGGAGGTTCACATAATATTAATCCCAAGCCCCAAGGATCTTCCCTCTCCCAGGCAGTACATCTCCTTCGTGAAAGGGCTGGGTTTATTGCTCGGTGCTTGAAGCGTCTCCAAATGGTGAAGTGCCGAGGGGGCTTGGTCAAATTTTACATGGTATTAACGCTATATCCACTTTAAACTGACCTTGTGTCACATTCGGTAGCAACGTGGGCTCTCTGAAAAATATATCACTTCTCGGCCTTTTGGCTGGGATCAAAGTGTAGTATCTGTCCTTGGGGGGATAAACTATATTTCATCTCTCAGTTGTGTCTCTCTCTATTCGGACAGAGGTACCCGATCTCGGGAAACAGCTGCTCGCTGCAGTAGCTCCCTCACTGCACTAAAGAGTGAGGATCAGTAGTAATACCGTAACGGTCGTGCGAACTAACGAATGGCGGAACACGCACAGTTATAATAGGCTAATATTAATAATACAGGGTGAGAATCCTCTATCCTAAATTCTTGGGACCAGAAGTGCTTCGGTTTTCAGACTTTTTTTTCGGATTTTGGAATACAGGCTATTTAATTTGTATATAGCATCTATAAAATGGTTCAGTTTGGGAATGGAACCCAAGCATAAACACAGTATCCCTTTACATTTCATTGCAGTTTATACATATATCCTGAAGGTAGTTTTATTTAAAATTTAATAAATTTTGTGTACATAAAGATACAAGTGGTGAAATTAAAATTTCATATTAAAATAAACTTTTGTACTTTCTGTACACGTACAAAAAACATGATCACTACTTAGAAAAAATGTAAATGCAGGACTTTTTGACATTTTAAACAATATCTTTACTGAGCACGAAACACCTTGTAAGTAATCCACAGACAAAAAGTATTGCTGTCACGATGACTAAGAAAAAACTGGCGCAACCCAGGACAGATGAGGTCACTTACAAGAGCTGCACATCACCTAGGACATTCCCAGTGTTTTCTGAAATTTTCCGTTTGTGGCAAGTCATGTTAGCTGCTGAAAAAAACTTTCGGTTTTTGGAGGTTTTCGGATTTGGGTATTTCGGATGAAGGATACTCAACCTGTAATAATAATAATAATAATAATAATGCTTCTTATATTCGACGACGATCCATTTAATTCGACACATAGATGTAATTATACAGAAAATACAGGCATATCGTAGACCACCGGAATGACATAAGCGACCTTAGCCACATCAGAGCTGTATCCCTTAACAAGTGCACTCATGATCACATTTTGTTAATTATTTGGCCTTGTACCATAATTGCATAATTAAATAAAACAGCATGTTTAATTACGTATTTATTTTTGTTGCGTTTGTCTTCAATGGTTTTACAATTTTCGATTTTTCATTTTTCAAAGCATTATTTTCATTGTAGCTTTCGTAGGGATCCATGTTTCTTCTTCGTCACTAAAAATAGTTCCAAACAATAGATTGAATGTAATTAATAAACGCTTTCTTCGCAATTTTTTTCTTGTATTTTAAGGTATATTTTTTCCTTCCTTTCCATGGTGATATCTTTCTTTCTTTAGACGGCTTCGCTATCACTTCATTCATATTTGCATTTTGGGGCTATGACAAATACAATGGAAAGAGTAAAACACGAGAACAATGGACGGTAACGTGACATGCGTACACATAATGCAACGACGTTGTTCGTCGACAGACAGAAGAGAGCCGCAGTGCACATACGGTTTCTTCATCCGCTTTTGTCTGTGCACAAATTAGTTCCTCGGTTCTTACAAATCATGCGTTAGGAATCAATGGATAGAATTTAAAAAAGACGAATTGCGTATAGACGTTCGTTCATATCAGTAGGAAATATTAATTTATAGATTACTTATACTGCATGTGTTAGTTAAAATCTCTGACAAATGACTCCTGTGATAGCTCACTAATATTTGCTCAGTTTTACTGTAGAATATTTACAAATATTGATATATTAATCAACTGCTATATAATATATTGATTGGAAAAAAGTCATAGGATGTGACACTAAGACTTCGACACTTATATAGATGGAGAAGGCGTGAGATTTTATCCCAGTCTCAAGGTTTTTTTTTATGATCAACAATAAATCTCTGAGATATGGTCTTTAAAGCGATTAACTAATTAAATGAAATTATTGTCCCCCCGCAAAAAATAGAAAAAAAAAAATAATGTAATAATATCTAAAAATTTTTTTAAATGTTATGAAACATTTAAAAAATATATGATGTAATAAAATAAAAAAAGTTTGAAATATTAATAGTTGAAAATGATATATATATATATATATATATATATATATATATATATATATATATATATATATATATATATATAATCGAAAATTATATCATAAATAAAATCACTACAAAAATAGCCATTGGTTTCAACACCTCTGGTATCTTATCAAGTGATGATGTTGAATGTAGAATAAAGAGTTTGAAAAGAAGTGTTGAAACAAAATGGCTATTTTTGTAGTGATTTTATAACATATTTATGTTATAATTTTCGAATAAATTATATTTCCTCTACTCTGTATTGAGCACTCTTTTTAAGAATAATATGTTTTTGTTATTGGAATTTATTCCATATACACCATTCTATACTTGTACATATATATATATATATATATATATATATATATATATATATATATATATATATATATATATATAATTATTAATTAAAGAATATCAAACACTCTTTAATTAATAATAATTTTGCTCTGTCTTAATTCCATACGGATTACTATATTGTATCGTTACTATATATATATATATATATATATATATATATATATATATATATATATACACACGCAAACCAATTGTAAATGTTTGTATTTATTGGCTTCATAAAACGGGAGGGGTTAGGAAATGGGAAAATAAATGCACTTATCTATTTGATTGAGGGAGGGTGTTGGCTCCAATCTGGCTAGGGTTGACTGCAAAACACCTTTTCCTCCCCAGTTTATAGACAAATGCATGCTGGGATTTCTTCCTGGTTAATAAAATAGGCCATTTCTCAGTTTCATCTGACTCTGTCCCAGTCTGTCTTGTCTTCAAGTCAAAATACTACAGTCACTTATCCAAACTTACTCTTGTGTGTCAACCCCAATTCTTAGTTCGTGAACTTTTTGCCTTATTACTGTTGCTTTGCCTTACTATTGTTGCTTTGCCTTGTATATATTGTTTTCTTGCTTTATATTAATTTTGGACCTGTTCTTTTCTTTTTCTTGATGTTGTTTATTACAAACTTTGTCAATTTTGTTTATTGGACACTTATGCCATTTATTTATATTTAACCATGACCATTGACTCTACACTTGTCCTATTGGTGAGGGCATTTGCACATTTGAATATCTGGTTTTAATAGGTAATTTCCTTGGAATCAGAATGTAATAAAATTGCATAAAAATGCAAAATTTGTAAATATAACAGTGTGCATTGCCATTAACAGTCTATGCAGTTGGTTTTCTGCCAGTGCTCTCAAAATCTGAATCATTATTGGAATTAAATTTATTTTCCTCTTTTCAGACTCATCACCAGTTAAGAATGGGCCTGAAAGACCTGGACATTCTTAAGTCAATACCTTGTTGTTGCTGTATCAAAATTCTATTGTTGAAATATCACAAAATAAATTTCAGCTCATGAGTCATGCGACCATTACATTTTGGTTGGTGTTAGTTCCAATCTTTGTGGGGAATAATTGCAAAACACTTTCCACTCCCCAATTTATAGGCAGAAGCACACAAATGCATTCTGGGATTTCTTCCTGGACAATAAAATAGGCCAGTTCTCAGTTTCATCTCACTCAGTCTCAGTCTGTTTTGTCTTGAAGTCAAAACACTACAGTCACTTATCCAAACTTACTCTTGTGTGTCAACACCAATTCTTAGTTTGTGAACATTTTGCCATATTACTGTTGGTTTGCCTTATTACTGTTAATTTGCCTTGTATATATTGTTTGCTTGCTTTATATTATTTTTGACCTGTTCTTTTCTTTTTCTTGTTATTGCTTATTACAAACTTTGTCAATTATTTTTGTTGGTCGGTTCTGTCATTTATTTGCATTTAAATATGACCACGCAATGTACAGAACGATAACAAATGAATAAATAAATTAAATAATTTGGGGTAAAGTGACAACAAACCGGACAACAATGATTTCCGGTTGTTGTTCTATGTTAACAGTCACAATTGGGATTGAAGCACTCATTTCTGGTTCGCCCCTCATGAAGGACAGACTTTTCCTCGGGTAGTCCCGATGTCGCTAGTTCGTCTTGGGAGCCACGTGTCGTGATATTGGGATGGACAGAGAGTTGCTAAGAAGAAAAGTCTAATGGTTAGTCCGACATTGCAGAAGTTGTCCCAAGTGTTACCTGCCTACCCACCCAGATCGGAGCAAATGAAGTCCTGATTACGACACCTTATTGGAAGCAGTTTCCGAATCCTCATTTCTCGTCGAAGAGTTTGTTTTCATCATTTGCTTTTTTATGAGCTTGCATCGGCCTTTTTCTCGGTATTTTGGCGCACCCTGACACCAAGGAGAATGTAGACGCAAACGGGGGTAGTCATTGGCTGGTCTGTGTACAGGTCGTGAGACTCCCGTTGTCTGCTTACAGTAAAGCAGTATGCAAATATGATAGGCGTTAGCATCGCCATACCCCGACGTCATGGAAATACCCAGGCGTATATAAATTATGTTCTGGTGAGTCAGTGTGAACACCAGCTTGGCTGATGAAGGCGACGCACTATGAATTATCGGTTTTCGAACGGGACACGACGTTGGTACCACACAGATGGGATATTTCATCTCTGAAATCGCGGGGACATTTGACATCACTCGATCTCCGATGTCACATGTGTAAGGTGGGGGTGGATACATACTGGAAGACATTACCGGTCACCGTGGACAGTGCAGTAGTCGACCTCATGTTCTTAATTAGGTGTTCCTGAGGTAATTAGATAAAAGTGCGCAGTGAACACATTTCTCTGGTCGGCAGGTGTGTCAGGGGTTTAAATTCTTCGAAGGCATTTAACAGAATACGGTGACAGTGTAATATCGCGTAGAAGTGTGTAGGAGTGAATCGAATAGTTTAAAAGTGACTGGAGAAGCGTGACACATGAAGAAGGAGCAGGGCGCCGGTCAGTCCCCACCACTGACAAGAAGATTCAGCAAGCCCGAGAGATGGTAATGGCGAACCGGTGACTTATCATCAGTGAGGTAGCATGTTCTGTGCAAATATAGACTATAAAAAAAAACATATACAGGTTTTCCACAAAATTCATCATGTCGTAATGCCAGACATTTCGCATGTGGATTGATTGATTTCTCTATAAAACGGCATATCAGCTTCTTATGGGTCATTTAATGTCGAAATTTAATCTTCTTGAGAGCTTGGAAGTAATAAAATTATGATATGTTGTTCTGCTTTCACAATTGAATACATGGTAAACGATACTCAGCTTTTGTGCAAGTTTGTGTGAACATAATTATTAGAGGCGGTGATATGTGTTTTATGTTGTAGTTTTGTTGAATTTATATTTCGGAATACAGTTTGATTTCTTTAAGAAATTGTAGGATATTATATGGATTAATGTCATTAAAGAGTTCTTTCATGTTGGTTGTTTGGTTGGTTGATTTTGTTTAGCGGCATATCAACACCTCTATGGGTTATTTAATACCGAAATCTGAATATTTGGATTTTGGTTGGTTGATATTGTTTAGTGGCATATCAACACCTCTATGGGTTATTTAATACCGAAATCTAAATATTTGTATTTTGGTTGGTTGATTTTGTTTAGCGGCATATCAACACCTCTATGGGTTATTTAATACCGAAATCTAAATATCTGTATTTTGGTTGGTTGATTTTGTTTAGCGGCATATAAACACCTCCATGGGTTATTTAATGCCGAAATCTGAATATTTGGATTTTAGTTGGTTGATATTGTTTAGCGGCAATAAGGGTAGCATCGGTACAGCACACATCCCCCGAGTCCGTTTGTGTTTTTGAAATTTTTCTTAACTCCTCCCCTAAAACCAAGAGGAAATTGTCTACGTTTAGCCCTCAACTTGCCACGAAGGAAAGAAAGTTTATTGATCTCGACGCCAAAAAAAATAAAAAATAAAAAATAAAATAAAATAAACAGGAAGAAGGAAAATGAATGAGGTCCTACAGTATCTGAAGTTATCACACTCGCCTGTGTCGACGATTTTGAAGGGCAGAGAACAAATTTATAAAGTTGCGAAAGGTTCTTGCGATTGACATTTAAAACAAAGCAATGGACCAGGTCCATGGAGAAATTAAACCAACTGTACTGTAGTATTTAAAATTTTACATACAACTGACGAACGTAAAATTAAGAAACAAAACAATGTGTAGAGAGATGATAAAGTCAGTCAGTTAAGTGCCATACATGATAAACTCTTGGATGGTCATATCTCTTTCGATCCATGACTGACTATGCAGAAGATTTTCCCGCATTAGACTGCCATCTCATTCTTCGGTAGATTGGTTGCCAACCAAGGCTATAGAACCCATTATGTCCTGCTATTCAACCCATAGTTGCAGGGAGAAAAGATGGATGCATACCTTTACCAAGGGTATTTGGTGCCTTAGTTAATGTGACAAACTCGACTGGAATTGGAATGTAGATTTCGAGTTCCGTGTTAAACTCTCAATCCTTTGTTAAAACACTTCCCGGATATT